CGTGATAAATTTTTATTGTTTTTTATTTTAATGTAGTTTTCCCCTCTCCCTTTCCGTTCGAAATAAGTTTTTGAATTTTTATTGAGTTTTATATATAAAAAAAAGATTTCAATAAATTTGTTTTTTTTTTCAACTTTTTTTTATTTATAACGGAAAATGTATGCAATGACGTCACAAAAATGGCGTCGTTTTATTTTGTGATTGTTTGTTAAATTATTTTGGTGGTTTCTTTTTATTATTTTGCATACGTGTTTGGTCGCGATGTGTACAACAAAAAAAGCCAACGATGATGTCACTAATAAAATAAGAATGACGTAACGGTCGTTAAAAAAAAAAAAAGAAAAAAGAAAAGAAGAAAAATGCATTTTTATCTGTTTAAAATCAATAAAGTTCAAGGTGCAAATAATTTTAAACCCTCAATTATCGTATTATGAAAAATTTTTTTTTTATTTTAATCACCATCATCATTATCATTATCATTATTATCATTATCATTATCATTATCATCATCGGGTCATTGTGATTTATATTATTAAAAAAAAAAAGAAATAAATTATTCTCTTCCTCTTTTTTTTTCAGTCATCGAAAATGCAATTGAAAAATGCATTTTAGAGGTCAAAGGTTACGTTCACATGTATTAACGAAGAGTAATTCGTTTTAATTAATTTTTTTAAAAAAAAAAAAAAAAAAAACGCGCGAAGCGGTAAAAAGAAATAAAAAAAATTTTTTTTTTTTTTTTTGCACCGTTCGTTTTTTTCCCCCTTTTCGACAAAGATAAATTTTTTAAAATGTATACTATAAGTGATAGATTGCTTTGTAGTATTTTATAGCGTTTATTTATAGCGAAATTTTATGTTACCCCCCTTCCCTCTTCTTCTCTTCCTCCCCTCAGGTGCCGGAAAATAAAAAATAATTGATTTCGGCGTTCGATCGATTTGTTCGTTTTTCCTACTTCTTTACTGAAATTTTTTTTTTTTTTTTTTCGTTTCATTTGTTACCAAATTAATTTGTTTTTGCACGCGTTTGTGCGTTTGTGTTTGTTTTGAGCTGTTTGTTGTTTTTGTAATTAATAATAACCGCGACAGGAATAAAATTTTCTCCTATTTAATAATAGAATAATTTTCCGTATTTATATGATTGTCGCGTTTGAAATAATCACACGACGTATAATTATTAAAAGTATTTAATAATTTTCTATCGATTTATCGATCGATGTGACGTCATTCATATAAGAGACGATTACAAAAAAAAAACTTTCTCTTATTATTATTATTATTTATAAATTAATTAATTTTTGTTTCGTTACGCCAAAAGATTTTCGTGGCACCTTTTTTATAATTAATATACACAAAGTTTTAAAAATAAATAAATAAAACAGTAAAAAAAAAAAAAGGTTATGGTTGATATTTTTTTTTATAGAGAGAAAATAAAGTAAAAGTAAAATTAAATGAAAGAAAGAAAAAGTTTTTATAATTTCCCAAGAGGGAAAAAGGAAAAACGGGGGGTGGCGGCGGTGGGGGGCGGGGGTTAAGAGGAGGAGGAGAAGGAAGCCATGTAAAATTATGCTTTGAAAGCTTAAAACTGACCTTCAAGTTTTTCTCTTTCTCTCTCTCTCTCTCTCTCTCTCTCTCTCTCTCTCTCTCCAATTCTTTCTCTTGAATCCGTTCAATGTCAATTCTTTAATTTCTAATACCACGACGTAGTTTTTTTTTTTTTTCTTATGCTTCGAATCATTTATTATTATTATTATTATTATTATTATTATTATTATTATTATTATTATTATTATTATTACAATTTTCTCATTCGTTTATTTTTTTATTGAACGCAAAAAATTGAAATTAATTTATTAGAATTTATTTTTTCCGAATGTATTAATAATAAAAATAATAATTTTTTTTACATTTGTCACACGTGTTGTTATTATCATTATTATTATTATTTGCAATAGAAAAAAAAATAAGGAAAAAATTTTGTGTTTTTTCATTAACCGTAACATTGTTTTTTCACGTAGACTACGTATTTTCGTAAATAAATTATTATTATTATTTATTTTTTTTGAATATTTTTTGTTTATTGTATTTTGTTAAAAAAAAAAAATGTATAAATTAAAATAATTTAAAATGACGTGGTTTTAGAATAACAAATTCAAATTAGTAAATGACGTAAAGAAAATTTTTTTCTACGTATATATAAATTACGTATCGATGAAGAAATTTGGATAATTTTAAAACGATTACAATTACTTATTTAAAAAAAAAAAATACATAAAACGTGAATGAATGAATGAATGAATGATTGATTGATTGGTTGATCATACACGCGTAAAAAATTTTTTCTAAAATATTTTTACGATTTAAAATTAAATTCTGTTCTTCTATTGATAATTATTCTTTATTATTATTATTATTATTGTGATTAACGTCACGATTTTTTGTGTAAGTAATAAATAAGGTTCAGACAAATGATAAGAAAGGATTTTTTGGGGGGTTTCTATTGCCACGAAAAAAAAGAGAAAAAAATTAAAAATTTTCTCGTCGTTTAAAATTTCTGTTCATTGAACATATTTATTTATTTTGTGTTTAAACAAATTCGATTTTTTATTATCCTGGTATAGTATAAAACATAAAATTTTGCATTTTAATAAAAGAAAACAATGATAATAATAATAATAATAATAATAATAATAATAATAATAATAATGGAAAACGTTTTTAAAAATCGTTTCGTTTCGTTTTGTTTTTATACGTGATGATACATAAATGAAAATAATTTTCTGTGTTAATTGAAAATTTTAATTTTTTTTTTTTTTATTTTGTCACGAATTTTATAGTTTCGCAATTGAACAAAAAAAAAAAAAGAAAAATTTTTTTTTCATTTATTTATTTATTTATTTTCTTTCCTTTATTGATCGATCGATTATACGTATATATAGCGCTATAATTAGCTATAAATAATAATAAATATCCGAATAGTTTTTAATCGATTGAATATTTTTTAACTTCCGCCAGAAACAAAGATTTTTTTATTTTTTGTTTGTTTGTTTGTTTTTTTTTTGCCTGCGGTTTGTTTTTCTTTTTCTTCTTCTTCTTTCTTTCTTTCTTTTTTTTTTAATAAGCGTGGTTTTAACTTTTTATTTTCGTCTGCTTTTTTAAAAAGAAAAAAATAAAAATTAAAACGTTTTGGTGTTTTTAATAGTTTTTCGACTTTAAAAAAAAAAAAAAATATTTATATGATGTTATGCTCACGTGACGAGGATTTAAATTACACATTTTGACATTTTTTTCATCATTATTATTACTATTATTATTATTATTTTCTTTTGAAAAAAAAAACAATCGAAGCTTTGTAATTTTAAATATTTGGTAATAATTTGCGGAAGTATTGGAGTGAAAGATTAAAACAAAAAGGAATATAGAGTAAGAAAGGAGAAGTGATAGAGAAAGAGAGAGAAAGCAAAAACGATTAAAATGGAATAAAAAAAAAAAAAAAAATGAGAAAAGAACACGGAAATGATCGCTTGCAGACCAATGATCTGGTAAAAAATTATTTTTTAAAAAAAAACAAAAACAAAAATTGCACTCCTTTCTTCTCCCCGCCCCGCTACCCTCTCCCCACTCCCACCCACCACCACGCTTTTTATTTATTTATATATATGTGAACAATAAATAAAATAAATTTGGCAATAATGGAATGAGAGAAGGGAAAAGTTTTTTTTTTATTGTAACCGACGTTTATATTTGTAAATAATTAAAAAATTAATTTTATTTTATTATTTATTTATATTTTTGATTTATTTAAGTTTAAAAAAAAAAAAAAAAGAAAAGCGTGGAAATACATAATAAAAACTCATTGAATTTGTCATTTAAATATAAAAAATTATTATTATTATTCGCTTTATAATTTTCTTCCCTTTCCTATATTTCCCGCATAACAACATAATTAATTATAACCGCCATATTTGTTGTTGTTGTTATTATTATTATTTATATGACATAAATGTTAAAATTTGGCAGCTGCGAAATATGTTTCTTTTTTTTTTTTTTGTTTTTGTTCGATCGTTTAAAAAAAAAAAAAAAAAAAAAAACGTTTTCCAAAGAGGAGTTTTAAAAATGTTTTAGATGAAGTGGAAAATTTTTTTGTTCACGTGCACTCTCTCTCTCTCTGTCTCTCTCTCTTATTTTACTCACTCTCTCATTATCTCTCTTTCCTCCCCCCCTTCTCTTTCTTTTTATTTCTCTTCTCTATTAATTTTTTCACTCTCTCTCTCTCTCTTTTTCTTTCTTTTTCCAAACTTATTTTTTTCCATGGCGTAATTTTCTTTACCTTTTTTTTCCTTCCATAATTAATTAACCCGATACAATAAGGATCGTAGGTCAAAGAGTAAAAATAATTAATAATAGTAATAATAATAATAATAATTGTTTATATATATTATCATCATTATCATCGTTAATAATTTCTGGTAAATTATTATCTCCGGGGGGGGGGGGCGTGTGCGTGTTAAAAAGGTTTCGACAAAAGGTTTTTTTTTTTTTTTAGTCAAAAGAGAAAAGATTTCATTTTAATTTTATTTCAAGTTTATTTCCGCTTTGGTTTAATTGTCAACGCAGACACGCACACGCACACGCACACGCACACGCACACACCTTAAAACTTCACATAATTTACGACTCTGAGTAAAAAAAAAAAAAAAAATTTTTAATGTAAAATTTAATAATATTTATTTCGTTTTATAACTTTCATTCATTGTAAATGAAATATTTTATAAAAGCAGACGACAAAATTAATAATTGCGGAAACGATGATATTTAAAAACTCTCATGAAAACTCTTCTTTGTTACTTGAAAGTTTTTTTTTTTTATGTTATTATTATTATTATCATAGTTACTATTATCATCATTATTATTATTATAGTTATTATTATCATTATTAAAATATGAAAAAGTAAATTTAATAACTAAATTTTTTTTTTCTTATTTATTTATTTATTTAATTCGATGGAAGTGCGTCGTCGTTAAGGTACATAAATTATTAATTTAAATATTTAAATAATAAATTTATCAACGATAATAATAATATTATTATTATTAAATTACAAAAAAAGCGCGGGAACGCAAACAAAAAAAAAAGAAAAAAAAATTCGAATTTGACGTTTTTCGTTTAACTTTTAGAGAGGAAAAAAGAAAATTTTTTTGAAAATGAAATAATAATGATAATAATTTATTCTTCGAAAAATTACCTTCTTCCTCCTCCCACCCTACACTCTTCTTTTTTTATTAATATTTGCGAAAGAAATAAAATTTTTTTATTGATGAACTACGACGCCATTTTGATTTCGTCACGTTGTAAAAAAATAAAGCAATTTTCTTCTTACCTTTTTTGATCAAAGAAAAAAAAGAAATTAATAATTAATTACGATTTTCATCATCATCATTATCATCATCATCATCATTATTATTATTATTATTATTATTATTATTATTATTATTATTATTATTATTATTGTAATTCATAATAATAATAATAATAATAATGATAATAATTTTTTTTTTTTTTAAATTTTCATAGAGTAATAAATTTTTAATTTAAACTTTTTAAGGTCGTTAACATGGAGATGATGATAATAATTATTATTTTTTATTGTTTTAAATATTAGGAAATGAATAATAATAATAATAATAATATCGTTATCATTTAATGTGTAACGATAGCGATTAGTTACAACGCGTGGATACATACACGTGTACACACGTACGAATAAAAGGAAGAAAAAAAAAATTCAAATTTTTTTTTCTTTATTTTTACAGGATCAAGCGGAAATTGCAGTAATGGAAACTGCGACGACAGCGACGACGATGAAAAATGTCCGCCGGATTCAATATTAGACGGTGATGGAACTTGCCGTTGCGAATTTCGACATTGTTTTCAACCCATATGCAGGGCTCCGGCTCAAAGTGTTTTGAGAAAAAAATCCAACAGCGTACCTGGAGATTGTTGTGATGTTTACGAATGCGTTTCCCACGGTAATATTCATTTTTATCATTATTATTATTATTATTTGTTTTATTTTTATATATAAACGTCTCGTAATTTTTTTTAAAAACTTTATATTAAAAATTTATATGCAAAAAGTTACGTAAAAGAGAGAAAAAGGAAAAGAGAGCGAAGGGGGGAAGGGAGTAGTTGGCAGATTCTATTTCCGGTTTCGGTTGTAGTAAAAACGATAAATTTGTGATTTAAAAAATTTTCACAAAAAAAAAAAAGAAAAAACCATAAAAATAAATTTTATTAAAAAAAGAAAAGAGAGAATTTTTTTCACGATAAAACTTTACAAAGTTTAATAATGGAAAACCGAAAAAAAAATTATTATCATCATCATTACTTTTTTTTTTTTCTAGTGCCACGACTTTTTTTTTTTTTTAAACGAAAATCAGATAAATTTTTTTTTTGTTTTCATGTTTTTTTTTGTTTGTTTTTTTAAATAAAAAATAAATTTCTTATGTATTTGCTACATCGAAATTATTAAAAATTTATTGATTTATGTATTTAATTAATTATTAATTAATTAATTAATAACTTTAATAAATAAATAAAATTTCAAATGATGACGTGTGTAAAAAAAATAATTAATTTATGTTTTTTTTTTCTCCATTTCGAACCGCGGTTTTGTTTTCGTTTTTTTATAACTCAAAGGAAAAAAAAGGAAAAATATAAATTTTTTATAAATTTAAAATAATAATAATAATGATGATGATAAAAGTAAAGGAAAAAAAAACAAAAATTCTCATGTAAAACGCGATAAATTTTTTTTTTTTATTTAAAATGTTTTATTAAATAAGTGTAAACATTCTTTTTGGTATCGTTAAATAATTAAACCTGTGTTTGTTTGTTTGTTTGTTTGCATATTGTTTTTTACCGTGTGTTTACAATATGCATGACAGCAAAGAAAAACAAACAACAACCTTTTTTACCGTTTAAAATTTTTTTTTTTTATTATTCCAATTTTCAACCGGGAATATTTTTAATTCATTCAATAGTAGACACAAATTTAAATTTTGAGAACGGGAGTAAAAAAAAATTTTTTTTCCCCCCTCTTTTCCTGATTTTTTCCTTTATCCTGCTCCTCCTTCTTCCCCCTCCCTTCCCGGAAAGACTTTGACTCCTTCTAGGAAAATGAAAAAAAAAAAAAGGCAGAAAGATCAAAGCACAAAATTTAAAAATTTTAAAAATTCGGTAATAAAAAAAAAAACACGCGGGAGCTTAAAAAAAATATTTTTATAACGGGAAGATGGGAGACGTAAAAGGGGTTGGGATTTTTTTGGGGGGATTGGAGGGAGAGGGAAGAGTGGGAGGAGATTTTTTTTTTTCGTAATCGTAACATCCCATCTGTTTGGTTAAACGACCTAATTTAATAATGTAATTTAATTACGTAATTAACCATAACGCATTAATGGATTGATTTCACTTTTTTTCCCTCCCCGCCTCCCCCCTTGTCCCCCGTTTTTTCATTCATACGAATTTTCTGGCAGGGGAAAAAAATTTTTTTTCTTTCGAAATTTCTGCGAAAAAAAAAATTACATTCCTGTTTTTTAATTACTTTAAATATTTTCGAAATGTTTTGAAAATGATCCAAAAAAAAAAAAAATTTTTAAGTTTTTTTTTTTTTTTAATTATTTACAGACAAAAATTGTAGCGACGTTATTTGTCCGGAAGAAGTTGAAACGTGTCCAGAGGATAGTTATCGTCTTCCAGCATATAAATCTCCAGAAGATTGTTGTTTAAAACCTCAAAGCTGTCAATGTTTACCGAGAGAATGTAAACAAAGGATTTGTCCGGAAGGTCAACATTCTAGAATTGTTAGACCGGGAAATGGAAAACCTGGAACTTGTTGCCCACTTTACGATTGCATCACCGACAAAGGTATATTATTATTATTATTATTATTATTATTATTATTATTATTATTACTTCTTTCGAGAGAGAAAAATAATGTAATAATTGATTGTTATAACAATAACAATAACAGCGACAACAAGTTACCCTGTTTAAAGTTGCCAAGTTTTTTTTTTTTTTTATTATGATTTTCGATGCGGAATGCCAACTTTTGAAAAAGAAAATTTCTTTTCTGTTTTTTTTTTGATTTTCGGCGTAAAAAATCGATTGGAAACGGTTTAACTTAAAAATCTAATAAATTTTTTTTTCGTTTTTTTTTTTTTTTTTTGTGTGTTTGTCCATAATAAACAAACAAATTATTTTTAGATGTAAATCTTACGACAGCGCGGTCACGACAGAAAAAACTTTTTATTTTTTTCTTTCGAATTTATTTTTTAAATTTTAAATTACTTTATTTTTAAAAAGTCTATTAGATTTTGGAAAAATAATAGATTTAAGTTTGGCATTTCCCCTTCCCCTTTTGCCTCCTATAGACTGATTAATTATCGATTTAAAAAGAAAAGAAAAAAAAAGTCTTTATCAATCACGACGACAACGACGACAGCAACAAGTGGTAGGAAATTTTCTTTTTTTTTTTCTTTTCCTTTTTTTCCTTTTTGGCTTTTTTCCAGCGAGTATAATATATATTTTAATTAATTGATTTTTTATATGTATAAAAAAAACATGTCTTTTTTTTTTGCTAACCCAGGAGAAATGCATTTCGCACTAACCTCCCCACCCGGTAGCAGGGAGAGTGTGGGTCTCAGCCAAAGCCACTACCCAACTAAAACTCCTGGATGTGCTCATTTTGCTTTTTTCCTGGGGAGGAGAGGCGGTCGCAGGAGTATGACCCGCATTTAAGCCTCCACTCCCCCCCAAACCCGGAATCATCAGATCCGCACTCGCGAGGGTATGAGCGGATCCCCACCGGCGTAACCGTAGAAATCCGCTCCACCCAATTGGGATACCCCCATCAATACAATACACAAATACATATATAAAATTGCATTAATACAATAATCATGTTAGTGTGAAACCTTTCCTAATATCTCTTTCGGTCCGGCTTCACTTTTTACAATGTTTGCAACCCTATTAAGTATGATGATGACGTACAAACAAAAAAAAAAATTCACTCATTCATTCATTCATCACATTTGCACTTTCTTCATCGCCCCTTACCCGATTGTAGGCGGCGGATCCCGAGTATCTCACCCTCACGTTCACGGTTCTCCTTCCTCTGGGTAACCGTTTCCGCGAAGCGTGAGATCTCGGACCACTCCCTGAGACCGCAATGGAGACCCTCCACTAGTCCCATGATGGTTGGATCCCCCCAACAACCTGAACAAGGCCCACCTCGAGCACTCCAAAAGCGTGTGACAGGCATCATCCTCAAGCGCATTGCAGAACCAACTCTCCGTTGTTTTTTCTTTGCCAATGCGCGCAAGGTGCGAGCCAAAGACACCGTGTCCCGTTAGTATTTGCGTGAGTCGAAAGGACAACTCATGCTTTATGCTCACGCCCCACTCATTCAAGTAACCGCGAATCCAGCACGCGGACGATTTCCCCTCTGTAAAGTTTCCGGCCGTCCTCGAGCCGCATCCATTCAGTCTCGGGGACTTTTTCCCGTACAACTTTTTGAAGCGCGTCCCTTCTCGATCTTCCTCGCGCGCGATAGAGAATCAGTCTTTTTATCGCAAGAAGATTGAGGGGAGGGGTTCCCGACAGAATGCAAGCAGCATCCGCGGCAACGTCCCTTTAGGCCATTTCCATCTTATTCAGAGACGCCCGTTGGCTGTAGTTGAATTGCTTGAGGGGTATAGACCCGGAAGCGGCTTTAGCTCAGCTAAATGGAGCCTCTGTCTGGAGCTAAATGGGTCTATGGTGTGGACCACCGTTACATAGAGCTTCCTAGTAACATCCCCCGGGCCCCGGAGATTGGGCATTAATCTTCCCGAGGACGCGCTGGTCGCCCGGAGTTTAGAGTCAAAAGCGGCTAGGTGTTGCACAAAAGAGAGTCTCGAGTCTAAGGTCACCCCTAGATATTTCAAGACTCCCCCCACCTTTATCTCGCTTTCCTCCAGCCTTAAAGCCCTATTCCCCGGAAGCGGGTTCCACGAGCAATGAAAACCGTAGGCTTCCGTTTTCGGTAAGCATACCCGCAGACCAATGCCACGGATTGCCTCTAACGTGGTACCCAAAACCCAATTCAGCGCGCCCTCGAGCGTCGGTCCAATCACGATCCATCGCCAGCAGAAGCCTGTCGTCCGCGTACACGTGATCGGTACATTTTCAGGAAGTGCAGTTCCCGTAAGAACGACATCTTAGGCAATGTTCCGCAGCAACGGTCCAAAGACCGACCCCTGCGGCACGCCATAGTTCCGTCTGGTTTCTCAAACACAACTTTTCTGTCGGATAGAAAGGATTCGATTATTGCTCGCAAGTAAATTGGCACGGCCTCAGCCTCAAGGCCCTTCCAAATCCCTTCCCATGGCACTGAATTAAATGCGTTCTTGATCTCAAGCGAGAACCGCAATGACGACGCCTCCCTTTTTTAGTTCTCCCTGCACCAAATCTCGAACCCGAACGAGCGGGTCCGTTGTAGAACGCCCCGCCCGGAATCCAATTTGGTTCGAGGAAAGATCAGATCTCCCGTTTTTAAGGTGCGCGATTATTCGTGACGCGACGATGCGCCCAAACAACTTGCCCTCAACATCAAGAAGGCAGATTGGTCGATTAGCACTAGGTGATGACTGATCGCGGCCCAGTTTCGGAAGCTTCGCTTTCATCCATTGGCGTGGGAACGTCAAGGTTCGCAAAAATACGGTTTGAAGTACCGAAAAGCGCGCACCCATAACTTCGGCGAACTTGCTAAGAAGCACGTAATGCACCCCGTTCGGGCCCGAAGCCGTCCGCTTATTCACAGCCGGATCCAGGGGGGCCCGAATTTCACTCACCGAAACCTCTTAGCATACCTTTTCCCCACTCGAGTCAGTCGTCGGGAATACAAACGGCTCGTCACGTGGGAAAAGCTCAGCGATAACTTCATCAAGGAAATTCCCGTGCATAGCCGTCAATGGCCCCGACGAACCACGCAGTTTATTCATTATCCGGCAGAACGGAAGACCCCACGGATCCGAGGTCACCTCCTTCAAGAGCCCCTTCCAACAATTGTTTTGGAGCTCCATATTGCTCGGCGCACCCCTGCCCGCGCAGCCCGCCTCTCCGCCTTACATCAGAGCAAAATCGAGTGTGACATAATCACCAAGTAATCCCCATCACGACGGAGGAGATACCTCTTCCAGTTTGCAAACTGGTGGCGATTTGCCTTTCTCCACTCCTCTGCTATTTTGCTCGTCCACCAGTACTTCGGCTTGTTTCGATGCATGCCCCGTCCTACCCAACGCATGCACTAATCCGAGGTTCGTCGGAGATCATTGCAAACGACCTTCGCTAGCTCTTCTGCATTTTTATCCTCCAGTATATCCAACCAGACACGGTTGTTGGCCTTCCAACCTTCTGCAACTATGCACTCAGTCAGACGATCAACACTTATCGATCCAAGACTCCACCCTAGCGGGCCGCCACGCAGTCTAAAGCGGGAAGCCCCCACCCCCACCGCTTGAGAACCACCAAGCGAAAATGTGGTGTAAACGTGATCACTCAAGATCTCGAGCCCGGAGAGGACCCCCAACCAGAGACCCACAACGCCGCCGTGGCGGAGGAGATCCGGAGGTCAATCGCCGACTCGCCATTGGCCCTCACGCAGGTTTTAGCGCTTCTCGAATTGTGAATTATGAAGTGTTGTGTGTCCACCCATTCACGCAGCAACCGCCCCCTTGCATTAGTAGCACGTCCCGACCACGAGGCGTGCTTAGCGTTGAAATCTCCGCAGATGATAATGGGTCGTTCACCCTTTCTGAGCAAGCCGACCTCACGTGACATGCCCCGCAAGAGAGCCTCAAAATCCGTTATCGGGCGTGTGGGTGACGCGTACACCGACTTTAGCTACGCGTCCCTCCCGTCCGCCATAACGAAGCCATCCTTCCTGGACAGCACCCTGGCTCTCGGGATCTTTTTTTTTTTTTGTTTTTTTTTTTTTTTTTTTGATATCTCAGGAGAAATGCAGATTACGCACTGACCCCTCCGAAGAGGGAGTGTGGGGCTCGGTATGGATTCGAAGAAAGCCTAACCGGGGACCCATACCCACTAAAACTCCTGAGCGCGTCGCAATAGCGTGGCTTATATGAAGAGGGGGGACGGTCGTTGGGGTAGAACCTACATTTTAGTCAGTCCCCTCTTCGGGAAGCCAGAACGTTAACCATTCCACACGTTTACAATGGTGAGAGATCCGCCTTAGTCTCCGTTCCGCCATCTCCTCAAAGACAAGAACGTATCTCCCGGGACGTTCGGCAGATCCCTTTCGGGAGTGCCCTCCGGTCCCTCGCACGGGGAAAAAGGGATGGGAAACGCGCCTGTTTCCTGAGAATGCGATCGGGTGGGGAATGTAAACTTATCATCGTCACCTGAAAAAAAAGGGGTAAAGCTAAAAATTAAGTGTCAGTTGATCACATCCTTTAACTACCTTACGGTAAAACGGGATCGATGAGGAAAAAATAGACGAAGGATCGACCGAAGTCGCCAATCCTCCAAGAAATGTTAGAAATGAGAAAGTTTTGACTTACCGACGACGAAGCTGCAGGACCGCTTCCAAAAATCGCGGAAACGCGCACCATTTCCGAGGTCCGCGAAGCAACCCGTTTACAAGACCGCGGATCGACAAGTCGGGTCCGATGACTTCGACCAGCCGCTGCCTTTGCTCGTCCCACGCGCGAAGTTCCCTGCGATGACAAGCCGTCCTCGGCCCGCCGTGACCCCGTTCACGATGGAGAACAAGTCTCTCCAACGCTAGGAGATCAAGCGGGGAAATGCCCGACAGAAAACAAGCCACCTCCGCCGCGACGTCTCTGTACGCCGTTGCCACCTTGTTCACAGACGCCCTTTGGAGTTGGATCGCCTTCTCGCGAAGAGGCCGAGCTGCCGAAACCGACTCGGCTCAAACCAGAGCTCCGTATAGGACCACGAAGTGTATAATCGCCTGATCCTAGCCTGCGATTCGCGCAGGTTCGGCATCAGGCGTCCTAACGTCGCGCTGACGCTCGGATTTTCGACAGAGACACCCGGAGTTCAATGCCCCGGATGGCCTCCACCGTCGCGTAAAGTCCCGTTTCCGCGCGTTCGCGAATCTCCGCCCACCCGCGACCAGTCGCGAGGAGCAAGGTGTCGTTTGTAACAAGTCAACGATACGCCTTCGGGAATAACGGTCCGGGTGAGGATGCGGTCGTAGGCGATGTTCCACAGTTGTGGTTCTAGAACCGATCCCTGTGGCACGCCGCAGAACAGGTCTGCCCTTCCCGTCGTTCTGTCCGGTTTCTCGTACGCGATCTTTCTCTCCGAGATCGATGATCGATGCCCAAGTAGTCTGGAACACATTTCGACGTCAGTCCGTCCCTTATCGCGGACCAAGGTACCGAGTTGAACGCGTTTTTTATGTCGACCAAAACGGCGATCGCGACGCTGCCCCGGCGTAGAGTGTCCCGAATTCCGGCGCACACGCGGTTGAGTGCGTCCGTCGTCGAACGGCCCGCCCGGAAGCCGTACTGATTCGGAGAGAGGTCGTTTCTCCCTCTCCCTGATCGTAAGTGTTCGTCTATCCGGGACGCGATCACACGCTCGAACAACTTGCCCTCCACGTTGAGAAGACAAATCAGTCGATACGCGCTCGGCGTCGTCGGATCCCTACCCGGTTTGTCCAGCAGAACTAAGTTCGCCTCCTTCCACGGCGTCGGAAATGTCGCCTCTCGGAAGCTCGTGGTGTAGAGCACCGAGAGACGCGCACAAGGCTCTCGGGATCTGACCCGACCCGGAGAAGTAGATCGTAGCCCTGCCGTCCTCGGACGCACACTTAAGTCCGTCAGAACTGTAGCCCTCAGTCGGAACTCTGTAAGGCTCCGAAATCTTTGCGATGTCAAAGCCCCCATCCTTCATCACTTGCGAGAGAAGATCTTGCGCTCCTCTGCAATGGTTGACATTAATTTGTATAACCCGCGCCATCGAGGTATGCAATAAGCCGTTCGTTCTCGGCTCGGGCAAAGAAGAAATCGCCTTACTATACCCTCCCTGTGTTCCGTCAAGCTCAAAATCGTGAATTCTTCCCTTCCCAGCGGCCCACCAAGGCGATGATTAGTCGCCCGACCAGCCGCCGCGGAAGGCGTACAACAGACAGCATTCTTGCACTCTCGCGCCCGGTGACCCTTTTGTCCACACCTGAAACACCGCTCGTGTGTCTCTGTCTCATCCAACCTTTCCAGATGCACGGAGCACGATGAGCCGAAATGCCCCGGGTTACAATATCTAACGCAGACCTGCCCTCCTACGAAAAGGAAGGACGATCTTACCGATGACCCACCCTACGGCGATTTTATCAGCCTTCAGCAAAGTAAAGCAACCGCTGCCGGAAAAAAGACAAATGCCACACGTCTTGCGCCTATGCCGAGTAAACAGCGCACTTTAACGGAATTTTCCGTCCAGCCACCCGCCTTTAAACTCGCGAAAACAACGTCACCCGATGAGGCCGATTTGCATAGGCCTTCTACGCGAATGCCTACTCTCTTTTCAGGCGAAGTTGCCGTAACACCCATTGACCCACACATCCCATCCTTTATCGTTTTGGCATAACTCCCTTTTAAGTTCGTGCTACCCCGAGTGACAGTGAGAACACAGCGCGCTGCGTTCACCGCCGCCTCGAGGATGTCCCCCTTGCCCAGGAGAGCCATGCTCCTAGCCCGAATCTGGAAGAGGCGAAAAGTCGCCTTCTTTTCCGAAGCCTCTAAAAAAAAAAAACATGTCGCGCAAAATGTTTTTATCATTTAAATTGTTTTTTTTTATTTGATTGATGTTGATAAAAATAAAATGCCATTGTAATAAAAAAAAATTATTATTATTATTATTATTTATTGTTCCAGAATCGAACGGTTCATGTCTCGTTAATAACTCTCGTCACATGGAAAATGGTACGACTTGGGAAAAGGATCCATGTACGATATGTTCGTGTTTAAATGGTTATTTATTTTGTAAAGCGTCGACTTCTGAAAATTGCACCGAAAATCCAGGTATTAATTTTTAAAAAAAATACTGGAACGAAACTGGAAAAACAAATTTAAATTTGATAAAATTAAAAAAATTTTTTTAGCCGGATGCATGTCCGAATCGAAAATATTACATCAAAATGGGGAGACGTGGGAAGAAGATCCTTGTACGCATTGCACGTGTGAAGCTGGAGAAAAAAAATGTATCGCTTATATGTGTGAAGTATCTTGTTCTAATCCAATACACGTACCTGGAGAATGTTGCCCACTGTGTAATGGTAAATATTTTTATGATTTATCTAAGTTTTAAATACATTTACTTATCGTTTGTGTTCTTTTAGAATCGTCGGTTATTGTTTTACCACCGCATTGTCCCGATTTAAATAATTGTTCTTTACGATGTTTACATGGGTTCGTACGAGACGATGCAGGTTGTTACACCTGTCAATGCGAAGCAGGTAACTTTTTTTTTTTTTTAAAAACTTTGCGTCGAAACACATCGTTAATTTTTACGTGTTGCAGAACCTTGTCTCTTGGAATGTTTGCACGGTTTTGCACGAGATGATAGAGGTCATTTATTGTGTCAATGCGCTGAACCCGAATCTACTTCATCCATCACTACGACTTACGATTGTCCATCGGCATCAGAGTGTCACGCATATTGTTCTTTCGGTCATAAACACGATAAAGAAATGTGTGAAAAATGTCAATGCAGATTTAATGAATGCGAACCTCTGATGAATTGCAAAAAATTATGCTCTAACGGTTTTGAATTAAATGAAAAAGGATGTCCAGTGTGTAAATGTCAGGGTAGGTTATCAATTTTTTTTTTTTTAACGGCTCTCCAGGTTGTTTTCCATTTTTTTTTTATTGCAATTCGATTAGATATTATAATTATTCTTGCAAGTTTTCAACGAATAAATAATAATAAAAAAAAATTTTATTATTAATTTTTAGGTGAAGTTACTTTTGAAGATGAAATGACTACCATATTGGATGATAGAAACCTTGCAAGTCATTGTTTTGGAAATGATGGTTTCATTCGAGACGATGGTGAAACGTGGCACGATGGTTGCAGGCAATGTTTATGCCACGGAGGCGTTGAAATGTGTAATCTCGTCGTTTGTCCGAGATTAAATTGTGTCAATCCAATTTTCAATTCTTCCACAGATTGTTGTGCCATGTGTCCAGGTAGGACAACTATTATTTCATTCCTTTGTTTGTTCGTCTCAAAAAACAGATAATGATGAAATTCGAACAATTACAGACGATTTAAAATCGAACACGGCTCCGTTGAAAACTTTATTATGCCATTCATTAGATGGTAGTTATAAAAAAGAAGGTGAAATGTGGTCGATCGATCCTTGCACCAATTGTATTTGCCACATGGGGCAAATTTTATGCGACGCTAGAGAATGTCCACCCACACCGTGTCAAAAACCCATCAAAGATGATGATAATTGTTGTCCTTATTGTCCAGATGAATCCAGGTTTTTATATATACTTATGTAATTTTTTAAACGTAATATTAAAATATCACTCATTGTTTTCATTATGTGTATTTTTTCTTAAAGATTTATTGAATCCGAGGGTGTGGCGTGTAGTTATTCACATCCACATAATTCTGTCTGGAAACAAGGGAATTGTGAAAGTTGCAAATGTGTAGACGGACAAGCGATTTGTTACACTCAAGAATGCGACGTTGAAAATTGTCCGCATCCAGTTTTACAAAAAAATAAATGCTGTAACATTTGCATAGGTAGACACAATTATTTCCTCCACGAAATAAAATAAATTTTCACATTCACGTGTGTAAATCATAATAAATCTTTTTATTATTTCTAGAAAAAATGTCACAGAGACCTTGCACGGTAGGAAATTCAACATTTGAAGATTCAGACAAATGGATCGAAGATGATTGTACGATGTGCGTGTGCAACGATGGACAAACCATGTGCACGAAACAAATATGTTCACCTCTTCACTGTTCGAATCCCATAAGAAAACTCGGAATGTGTTGCCCCGTGTGCCCGGGTAAGATTTAAATTCACTTTGGCCACCGTTTAAAAAATAAATAATAATAATAATAATAATGGTCGTTTTTTTTTCAGATGGAGGAGAAACAAACGGTTTTAAAGACAACCCGGTTAAAATATTCGTTTACAACATAATCATCACAACGTTATCGTTAATCGTTTTAGGTCTTTTAGTATGTATACTAATACAATGTAGAAGATCGAGACGATATTGCGTGAGTTGTCCAGATTCGGAAAGTCTACCATCGTTTAAATCATTTTCTAAATCTAAATTCAAATACGATACATCTCATTCGGATTATCCAAACGAAAAAGCTAAACTCGCTAGCGTCTAATACTTTATATTTACGATAATAATCATTTTTTTTTTTCTTTTTATGTGTTAGACTCGATGGATCTCGTTTGTCTCCTCCTGACAGAAGCACGTTTAAAAACAAATAATAATGATAATAATAATAGAAAAACAAACGGATGTTTGTGTCAAAGTGCCAACGTCAGAGTGAATTTCTTTTTTTTTTTTTTTCCAACTTTTTTTGAAATCTAAACCGGTGGTGTGTGCGTGTATATATAAACTATTATTATCTTTCTCTCTCTCTCTCTCTCTCTCTTCGATACTCTGGTGATACATTTAACAAATCATCTCGAATTCGTTGATGACGTATCCATCCTAATAATAATAATAATAATAATAATGTTTTTTTTGAAGGATTAAACGTTTTGGAAAATTTTTTTTAAATAACCGACCACGATAACAATTAATACGAAGATGAGAAATTTTGTAGTTTGTCATACATACAATTTATCGCAAAGATCGCAAAGAGAATAATAATAATAATGATGATGATGATGATTAATTGCGATTAGTATTTGTAAAAAAAAAAAAATTACGAAAAAGGAGGGAAAAAAACTGATTTTTTTTTTGAACGTGTTAAAGAGTTTGTATATACTAATATTAAATGTAAAAATATATTATTATTATTATTATTATTATTATTATTATTATTATTATTATTATTATTATTATTATTATTATTATCATTACGATTACTATTAATGAAACGAAACATTGTTAAGGAAGTTTTTCTTTCTAAAAAAAAAAAAAAGAAATAAAATAAATGAATAAAATTGTTGCAAAATTATATCCTGGACACACATCATCACTTGTGACATCCTTTTTTTTTTTTGTTTATCAAATTTCTAAAAGTTATCAATGACGTCATCATTCGCATAATTCAAATCAATAACACTTATTATTATTATCATAATTCAAAAAAAAAAAAAAATTTGAAGGGTTAATTAAATAAATAAATAAGTTTGCAACAAAATGGCCTTCCTTTTCAAAATAAAATAAAAATAAATAAAAGAACGAAATAATTATGTACATAAATTTTAATAAATATATATAAATAAAATAATAATACTTTTATTTAATGACGGGAGCTGTGAAATTAATTATACATATATATAATTTAAATAAATAAATAAATAAAAACGAAAAAAAAAATCAAGCTTTAGGGTATAATAATAATAATATAAACTTTGTTGTATATATATATATATTATTTTATAGAAGCTGTCGATATTAGTTTTTATGTATTACTATTATTATTATTATTATTATTATTATTATTATTATTTTTGTATATTTTAATTTTTAATTTGAAATGTTTTTTTTTTTTTAAATATGACGATGATCGTGTATTGTTAATACGAATTTGTATTAATAAATAATATTCATAGACTAATAATATTATGTTTTATTATTTTGTAAAAAATAAATAAATAAAATTATTTAAAAAATTTATTGTTTTATTTTTATTATTATGTTCGACATTAAATATTACGGATTAAAATAAATAAATTTAATATCACTCTTCAATGTTTATGGTTTTTGTACCGGTGACGTTATTTAATAATTTGCTATTGAACAACGCCATGATTTTTCTCGGCCCTGATTTTTTCGGCACGAAAGTTTCGGTAAAATGAACGTCATCGTTGGGTTCGACATCTGCAAAATTTACTAATTTAGGCCTCTGAAGACCAGGTCCTTCAAAACTCACGGTACAATCGGTCAATCTACGGTAAATTGGATTTTTAAACGTGAAATATGCGGTGACGGGATACCCGACTTTGAGATGACCGCTAACGGTTATGTCAATCGAAGGTTTTGTAAATGAAAAATAATCTTCTTTGCTCCAATTTTGTTTTGTTTCTTTAACCGTTGCTATGCTGAATATTTTAACGAGACTGTGATCAACGAGTTTGTCCAAATATTCCTCGGGAGTTATCGTTATGTGCATTATTTCGGTTGTTCTTCCCTTTAAATGCATCGTACCTGAAGCTTTTTTTAAATCGTATGCCGACACACCCGTGTAAAAAACAGAATTTGCTGCCATTGTTGCTTGTATGGTTCTTGGCTCTTCTGAATTGTTTTCAATTCTCACAATAACTCGAAACGATTGACCGTAATCGATGGTATCAATTTCATCCAATCGAAACACGACATCTTCTTCGTGCGGTAATGCGATATCATATTGAATTCTCGCTTTTCTACTTTTACGAATGGCTGTCAGTACGGCCAAACGTTCAGATGTTGATCCTTCTGGATTTTTATATAGATTAGTCACGTCTTCCATATCGTTGACGCTATCTTCATCGTCATCATCGACTCCAACTTTTTTTGTAACTAATTTTTTACCAACGTGACAATCGTCAAAATTTAATCTTGAAAATCCCCAAGGTGATTCATCATCTTCTTGAAAATGCAATATGTCGGCATTGACAGCGGCAAATGCAAAAGGAGTGTCATATAAATAACCGATTTCTCCTCTACGTACGGCTTCTATAGGTGCTGGCCCACATTTATAAGCATCTTTAGTAAAAAAAAAAAAAACAATTAGGAAAACCCCATTTTTTTATATTTTTTTGATGACTCTCGATATTATACCATTTCAAACAACTTACTATCACTTAATTCTTGAGGTGTTGAGTCAATAATTTGCCAACCGCTAAATGAAGGTGGAAGGTCAGGTCTTTTCATCCAAACGTCAACCCAAACGTGAAAATTCCAACACGAATCATAACAATCACCATCGGGACCTCCTTCTATTTCTGTACCATCACGAGTGAAATATTTATCCAATGTTAAAGAACTGCAATGAGATAAAAAAAAAAAGTTAAAATAAATTTATTCGTTTTGTTATACAACCGATGAACTCTCTTGACCTACCTGTTAGTATCGTGTGCAGAAGCATAATTAGTAACGGGTCTTGCCGGTATTCCCAATGCTCTACATATAGTAACCGCCGCACCTGAAAATACCCAACATTGTCCGTATTTCACCGATTTTCCATTACTTTTAAGATAATTTTCCATAATGGCGACGGATCCGGTCCATGCAAATGGTGACGTACCACCGGCAAAATCACCAACCCATTTTCCTTCTATTAAACCATCTTCATCTTCTGAATTAACCTGTCACGACGCAACAACATTTTTCATACCATTCACATCACGAATGCTAAACATATATTTATCGCAAAAAAAAAAATCTTACAACAGCGGAAATAGCTCTGGCCATTTGTATAACATTTCCTCTTTCACCATGTTTCAATTTTGATTTTTCCAAAAGGTGTACGACGGCAGGAAGTACAACGTCATCAAACTGTCCGTAAAACCATCTTCTACCTTTGGGTTTCAAATAAGAACCCATCCATATTTTTCCAGTGTCGTTTAAAACGTATTCATTTCTTTCATTTTCATCTTCTAAATAAACTTCGTCGTCTGTCAAAACAATTTTTCTTTTGAAAATTTTTTTACTCGATAATCAAAAACCGGATAAAATGAAAAAAAAATTTTTATTTACCTTTGCACCACGGATTGAAAAGTACGTAAATATCTTTTTTACATTTGTAATTTTTAAATGATGACGTCACATCCGTCGAAGAGGTTTGAATGTTAAGATTCCAAAGTCCGACAGGTGAAACGACAGGAATGTTAACCTTTTAAATAAAAAAATAATTAATTTTTCCTCTCTCTCTCTCTCTCTCCCTTCTATTTGAACTATTGAACTCTTAAAGGATTTACCTTTATGGAAACAATATCACCGTTGATTTCGTGTACTGCAGCATCCCATTTATCTTCGTTTAATTCATCTTTTTTAACAACTTGAACAATCGCTCTTGTACCTTTGTTAACAGATGGTTTCGGACCTGAAATAACAATTGATTAGAGTGTGAGAGTGAGAGAGAAAGAGAGAATTTTTTTTCGTTTAAATGAATTTTTTAAAAGACGAACCGAAAATAAAAATCAAACGTATGACGTCATTTTCAAAATTAATTTTTCTATTAAATTTAACGGCAATAAAAAAATGTTGTCCGCGTCTTAAAATAGGAATTTTCGGATCTTGTTGTACGAGTTCAAATTTATCCGTGTGATGAGTTTTAGAATTTTCAATTGCGTAAAATTCAACGTCCATCGTTGTTAAAATGTTAAATTCTGGAGAACCTGGAAAAAAAAAACAAGAAAGAAAAAGGTTAGAGAGGTTTTTTAATTCCGTTAACAAAAAAAAAATTTTTTATAATTACCCATGAAATGATGAGAAAAATTTTCATCTTGTTTTCTTCTCCTCTCATAATCTTTATTAAATTTCTTCATTAAATTTGACATGTAATTTGTTATTTCCGGATTTCGATTTTGATTATTTGATCTTCCATTATAAAAACCCATATCGTTTCTCAATGACATCCTTTTAACAACAACAAACAAAAAATTATTTAAATTATTAACAAAAAAAAAATTTTTTAATAACAATTTATAAGGTGGAGTTGATTAAAATGTCATTTTAAACAAAAAAAAAAATTTTTATACCTGTTACAACGAACCGAATAAAATTAATTTTTTCCTTTTATATATATATATATATAAACTTGTAAATTAATTTTATTCCCATTCGTTTAAACAATAATAATAATAATAATTAATTTTTTCTTCATAACAACTTTATAAGTAATTAAAAAAAACAATTTTTTTTTTATTCGTTCCTAGAGGAAAGAGAGAGAAAAAAACCAGTTTTCTTTTGTTTTATAACAAAAAAAAAAAATTTGTTATTAATAATAATAATAATGACATATAAATATTTATGAGAGTTATTGTTTGTTAATAAATAAAAATAAATAAATTTAATAATAACGATGAAATTAATTACATTTTAATTAAAATTTTTTTTTCCCTTTCCGATCGATGATTTTCCGACGAAAAAATTTTTTAATTACGTATCATATATACAAACGATGATGTATCGGGAAATTTTAGTAATTTACGCGTTTAATACTTTGTTTGTTTTGCGTTTGTTTGATAGATTTCATCGTTAAATCGATCAAACAACAAACAAAAAATTCGTAGACATTCGTAAACGCGATCGAATTTTTTTTTTTTCCCCCCCCCTAAAAGTAATTTTGATTTTAAATTACGTGTAATTTGTTTTTTTTTTATTTGGTTGTTGTTTGTTTACTGCGTACCTGAATTCCTTTTTTTTTTAAATATATAAAATTAAATTACAATCTTGCAAACTTCTTTATAGTAATAAATAAGAAAAAAAATAAATAAATGCAAAACGCGTTTTGCATTTCAATAGAATGTAAACAAAAAAATATTATTATTATTATTGTTATTACATTTCCTTATTGGTTTAATAATAATAATAATAATAGTATTAAATATTATAAATAGCACCAACGAAATTCGAGCATTTATTTTTAAGGAATCGTCGGGTAGAAACCTGGAATAAATGCTTAAAAATCCCGACAAATAATAATAATATAAATATATAATAATAATAATAATAATAATAATAATAATAATAATAATAATAAATAATAATAATAATGATAATGATAATGATAATGATAATAATAATAAATCAAATCCGAATATGCTATTTTAACAATTAACACACAAAAAAAGAAAAACAAATTTCGAATAAATAATCCTAGAAAAATCAACAGAATTTAAAAAAAATTTAATTTGATATTTTTTTTGTATTAATAAAAATTATTAATGCATTATTATTATTATTATTATTTGTTTATTAAAATAATTTTAAATATTATTATTAAAAAAAAAAAAAGTAAATAAATAAATAAATAACAACAACAAAAGATCTGTTGAAAAATTGAAAAAGTAATAAAAAAAATAATAATAATAATTAAAATAATAATGAAAAATAATAATAATAAATAATAATAATAATAATAATGTGAATACATCATCACGATAATATTTTATACAACAACAACAACAACAAAAAAAAAATTTTTTTAATATAATTTAAATTGTTGTTTGTCTTACCTGAAAAGTTGTGTGCAATAATAATGTCGGTTGCTTTTCGGTGACTAAATAAAAAAATTCTCTTGTTGTTGATGCTTATAAACAAAGATTTTAATAATAAAAGAGGAGGAAATCGAGGAAGGGTACTAACAACTAAAACATGATTGAAGACATTTTTTTTTTCTTCTTCCTTCTTTCAACTGCACAAATGCGTAGATTTGTTCCAGGAAAATTTTTTATTTTTTTATATTATGTAAAAATATCCTTGAATCTCTCTCTCTCTCTCTCTTTAGATTTCAATTCTTGATTTTATTTTTGTTTATTTTTTTTGAAAAAACGCCATCACAATAAAAATAGAAAATAATGGCAATTGCTAAAAAAAAAAAAAAAAACCCAATTATAATTGTAAAAATGCATTCATAGAAATAACGTACGAAATTTTTTTTTTTCTTGTTACATGACCTCAGACTGGTTTTCCGATTCTGTTGATTCGGGTCAATGTCACTTATATTCCTAGATGCCAAAAGTTTTTTTTTTCTTTTTAATTAAAAAATGATTTCACAAAAAAAATTTAATTTAAAAGAACTCACCGTACGTGTCGTAGAAATTGCATATTTATGATTCATTGGAATTTTACGAAACCGACTTAAAAAGGAATTATTAAGGTTTTTAAACGTAAAAATTATACGTTAAAAACCTTTTTTTTCGATTAATTCCTTTTCGTTATTGTTAAAAACAATTTTTCAACGGAATCAAACGTTTTTTAACGAAGGATTTCAAAAAAAAAAACTTTTTTGAATTTAAAAAAATCGTGGAATTAAATTTTTAACGGAAAACGAAATTTTTTCCGTTTCCACGGCAACCGTTAAAAAAAACAAAACAAAAATGGCGGTGTGTGAAGTTTACGCACAAACTGTCAAATTTAAATATAAAAGTACAATTTGTTCGAAATCAACAATTTTTTCAATTTTATCAACAATTTTAAGTTTTTTATTACCTTTTCTTATAGCTTACAGGAGTCACGGTAACCTTTTAAACCTTTTTCTTATTTAAATAATTAAAGATGAGATAAATGTTTGTTTGTTTTGTTAAAAGTTACTTTTACCCGTGTGATATTAGTAACAAATTTTTTTTTTTTACAATAGGATTTTGGATGAAGCATTCTGTATTCCGAGAGCAACCGAAAATACGTTTCAAGCATGATTATGTTGTTTTTATAGAAACAGATAAACCTAATAAGCCGATTTTATGCAGTAATTTACCTTTAACTCAAGACTTCGATAGATGTTCTATGATCAAAGTATATGAAAAATTATAATAATTTATTAGTATCATTATCATTATTATTATTATTCACGTAACATTAAAAATTCAATTTACATATAATAATTTTACAGTCGAGAGAAGAGGATAATAATCATGATGGAAAATTTGATGAGCTTTTATTAGAAATTGAAGTTGACATACCTTCTAATACAGGAGTTTATTCTGTTCAAGTAATTTTATTATTTGATTATTTACTTCAGGTAAATTTTTACTTAATTAATTCTTGCGTTGTATCGTGTTGGAAAAAGAAGTCATGATAATAAGGATGATGTATGCATAAAGTGTAATAAATTGTTTTTTTTTTTTCCTATGCAGAAACAATGTTTACTTCAAATGGAAAGCTTAGGTGTGGTACAATACAATTCTGGATTGCCTGGTTATAAATTAGATTTTACAGGTGATTTGAAAATAATACAAAATAATCTTTTGACGACAAGAGGTAGTCACACGAGATATAATCATTCGATATTTATCACGAAATACGATGATGATGAAGAGCCTGAATTTAATTTTAATCGAGTTATAAATAGTTATGCTAAAAGATCAGGTTGATAAAAAATTTTCTTTTCTTTATAAATTAAAATAAACCTGATGATTAAAAATATTATATGAACCCTATTATTATTTTTCAGTAAGCACAAAATTAAAAAATAAATACTACACGTGGTCTTCTGGAATTCTTTTGGACGAACCATTTAAAATAAACATAAATATAAATTATCCGGAAGATACGATTATGTATAAACCAAGTTTTT